GTCGTCCTCTTTGGCGTCGTGGTCGTTTCCGTCGTCGTTGTCGCCGTGGTCGTCCTTCCTCCTCCTCCCACGTCGTCGTCGTCGTCCGTCGTCGGCGTTTCGTCGTCGTCCCTCCTATTTCGTCGCCGTCGTCGTCGTCGTTGTCGTCGTCGTCTTCCCTCCTCCCTCGTCGTTGTCGTCGTCGGCGTCGCCGTCCTTCCTCCTTCGTCGTCGTTCGCGTCGTCGCCGTCCTCCCTCCTCCCTCGTCGTTGTCGGCGTTGTCGTCGTTGTCGCCGTCGTCGTCCTTCCTCCTCCCTCGTCGTCGCCTTCGTTGGCGTCGTCGTCGTCGTCTTCGTCGTCGTCGGCGTCGGCGTCGTTGTCGTCGTCGAAGTCGTCGGAGACGTCGTCGGTGTCGTCCTAGTCGTTGTCGTCGGTGTCGTTGTCGTCGGTCTTAACAGGTTTTGCAAACCAAGTTGCGGGTGGGTGGGTGGGATGTTTGCGCGAGCAGTGGAGATGACGACTTCAAGTTCAGCAGAGTGGATTGCACTATATAGATTGCACCGCACATATTGCATTACTTAGGTTGCACCGCGTAAATTGCACCACATGGATTGCACCGCATTGCTTGCATTACATATGTTGCATCGCACGCATTGCACCAAATTTCTTGCACCGCGTAGACTGCAATAACCAACTGTTTGAGGTCCACGCTGGCTAACATGTATTGTGGTCGCCCCCCTCTTTTCCCCTCCTCCGCCTTCTTCTGGTTCTCCTGTTCCTCCCGCGCCTTCCGCTCCAGTTCCGGCTGCTGCTATTCGTGCTCGTCCTCCTCCTCCTCCTCCTCCTCCTCCTTCCTCATCCTCCTTCCCCACTCGCACCCGCCACTTTCTCCTCCTTCTCCTCGTCTATATTTGTACCCAGCACGATGGGGTGGTTTGTGACATCCCAGGTCGGCTATGACACGCGTCCGCGGATAGGGGAAGCATCAGCGCAATGGGAAGGGATTGTGGTGAGGGATTGGATGCCAGATATGGCGCCAGCGCACCTAGCTTGCCTCCCTCCTCCTTCCTCTCTCCTCTCTTTTTTCTTCTCTCTTTTCTCTTCTCTCCTTCTCACCCCTCCTCCTCCTCCTCCTCCTTCTCCTCGTCCACCTCTCCTCTCCTCCTCTTCCTCCTCCCTCTTGCCTTCCCTCGCCTCCTGGCTGTGTTGCTGCTGCTCCTCCTACTGTTACTGCTCCTCCTCGGCTTTGGCGCTCGGCCACCCGCACGTGGCCGATCCCAGCGATGACGATGCGGTCCCCCAGGAGCAGGGCCAGCATCGCGCAGCAACCTGTTGGATCGAGAGGAACACATCTGAGCGGTGAAAA